TTAGCTGTAATGACAACTACAAATATGTCCTTACTCACAAATTACAGCAGTAAGTTTTATGACTATTTTAACACTGTCAACTCTGTTAGCCAAAACCTGCACACTTTATCAAGAGCTAGATTCTAGAATACAGATTTATTTAGGTCTTAATGAATAACATTTCTGAATTATTATGCTTTGTACTCACTTGCATACATTTTTATTTATGTATAAAATATATATATTGTCTTCATAATCACCTTTTAAAAATGTTTAATTAACTTACTTCAAATGAGAAAGTTTCAGTAGACAAAAGGAAGTTCATGTATGTTCTTACCCATTTGGTGGATGGAATAACAGCAATCTTTTCTATCCAGAAAGCACCGTAAGATTCTGTGATATTCTTCTGGTTGTTTTTTGTGTTTTTCCCATTGCCAATCTTTCAGGAAAAAAGTTATACATATTAAAAAAATAATGTTTTCATTGTACTGATCAGATTTCTAGATGGCAGAAAGCCATACAATGAAATCTTAAGAGATGATCCATCTCTAATATTTACATTTTATTCAGAGATCCTGGAAGTCACACCTTGTCATTTATTATCAAGCTGTCTTTTATCATCACATGCTATTGTGTGAAAATTGGGAAACTAAAATAACAATGCCAACTGCAAGTATATCCCGAGTGATCACTGCTGAGAATTGATAGCTATTGCTCTATGTGAGCTTCCAAGACTTTTAAAACTATCTGTTCTGTTTGCACTTTATTAGATTTGCAAGCATTTGTAGGATAGTAAGACTCATAAAGCAAAATCCGAACACAATGCTGGCCCCCTCCCAAAGCAAAATCCAAACCACAGCTTTGCCATGTGAGCCTCTGCTTCTAACATAAAGTAACCTCACATTTACTAACAGAAACATATACACAGGGCTGATGCCATTTAGATCCATAGTGCAAGTTCAAGGTCTTGTTTTTCTCGGGTACTATGTTTGTTTGCCTACTCTTTCAGTTATATCTTTGCACTACTGTTCTGTTTATTCAGTTATTAAAGTGGCAAATCCACACATCATGCTGCCATGGAAACCGTGACAAGAGTGCGAGGATCACAGACCCAGCCACAGCAAGCTAAGTGACAGAAGAGTGTCACACAGAGCAGACCTACGACACTCACCTGTGACCCTGGGATATGGGGTGTTAGTACAGGATTAAGCAGGCACTAGTAGGGTCTGCTGTGGGGTTTGGACTCAGGCTGATGATGGGTGAGTGGTTTGTGAAGTACTTTGTGTGCTATCACTGTCACTGCTGACACTGTCACCCTGGGCTAGCATTTTGGTGGCTGTGTAATGTAAAAAGGGGAAGAACTCAGACCCCTGGTAACAAGTTTTCCCTTGGCTTCAATCTGGGTATTCCTCAAAAAGATTTATAAAATATCAACAGTGGGATTCCCTATTTGTCCTTCCTCTGTTTTTGTTTCTTTGCTTAAGGCTGACATGATTTTGCCCCATCAGACAAGAAGAGTTCACTAAAAACTTTATCAGGGCGTCACAGAGAGTTTCATTAATAAATTTAGATTTTATGCTCTTATGGAAAATGACAACAAAAATGAAACGGCCTCCAAATAACACAGAGGTCACCTCAGCAACAGTACTCACCTCTTCCTAAATGTCTGCAGATGAGTGCCTGGGCCAGCATCATCTGCCCACACCTCAGCATGCATCCCCAGCCCGCGTCAGACGAGGGACCGGTGCCTCCTGGGAACAGAGGTGCTCCGTCAGCACGGCTCTGCACGGAGCCCAGCTCTGAGAGAGCTCCCAGCCAAACCCCTGACAGCTGTCCCCTGCTTAATCCCAGATCATGGATATGATATTAAGCTGTCCCCAGCTTCACGGCACTGAGCCAGCCCCTTTCCCCCCACAGGGCTGCTGTCACTTCACTGCTTGCCCCACAAACATGAAGACCTGATTATATACAGGTACAAGCAAATACTGCTTTTAATAGCTTTAATCTTCTGTTTGCATACACAGTTAAGATTATGAGCAATACGTTCTAGTACTGTAAAAATAACTTTTCAGTCCCCAGCATCATCACTAATCCTGCTAATCCGTAACCAGGCAGCTGGAATGCTGCATACTCACCAATAGGTGAAAACTTTCTTCTATACGTGAACCAGAGACGAGCACTTATATCCAGCAATAACTTAGATTTGTCTGGAATAATTTTAAGAGGAAATAAATTATTAAAACAGAATTAAAACTGAAAAATTCAAATTATCCCTGTACAGTCAATACGCAGAGTACAAGGAAGGCTCCTGTAGCTTTTACATAAAAGACCCTTAATACTTAAAACATTTTTTAGCAGTTTAAACACAGAGAGCTTTTGCAGACTGCTAATTAAAGTTAACTTATTACAGATGAAATAATTATTAGCCAATGAAATTTTATAAGGTGTTTGGAATGACTATGCCCAGCCTGAATAAAGCAACTCTGGAGAACTATGTCCTCAGGAAAGAACTGGTAAAGCAGGTTAAGAAGTTCTACGTGCAAATCAACATGGAATTATACATTACCTCCTAACCCAACAGAAAGTAATTTTAAGAAAATGGTAATAATGTCAAATTGAAGCCTCTTGTTTTTCTTGTTTGCTTAAACACATGCACTTACAGATTCTCCAAAGGCTCTGAAGAATGTTTAAGAACCCTATCTGCTGCATTTCCCCTTAGCTGTGGCTCAGACTGGCTGGCTTTTCCAAAGGATTCTCCAGCTGATCAAGGATCCATGCAGCATCCCCAGCTGTCCTGAACACCGTGCCTGCACTGGTGGCCACTGCCTTTGACATGTAACACAGGAGGATGGCCCTGTCTTCTCCCCAGGGAGCAAAACTCATTTCTGAAGTCTTATTTTTATATAAACACATTCCTCTGCTCTAACTTTCAGGTAATGTATTTATTTTCGCTAAAATGCAGTATGTGTCATAGACTAACTTATTATTGTTACTTGAAATATAATTCTAGTTGCAAATAACAGGCTGTGGACAGCATCCCTCATAGGAAAATGACATCAGTAATGCTGAACATTTCCCAAAAGTTATATATTCATTTCTGGGGCCCTGATGTTGGGAAGTGACAAGGCTCACGTCTGACAGACTCTGCTATGAATGTGATCATATTGCAGGAATTACAGTGGAAGCACACTGGCCTTGGCTCTGGTTTCTGTACAGGAGGAATTCCCCTGCTTACACCTGGTGTCTCACTGATGAAGAACAAACTGCCCTCATGAGACATTCAGGGAACATAAGGAAATCAGGAGCTGTTGCTGCATGTGAATCTACAAATAGTCTACAGATGTTACAGATAATTTAATTCTAAAGATACCTGTGTTTAGGTGGTGTTGCCTTCCTAAAATCCACACCGGCTCGTCGGTTTCTGGAAATTCTTCTAAGTAGTCTGACAAAATAGTGATCTGGTTTTCATACCTAGATAAAACTGAACAGGAATACACAAAATTCAAACTTCATTTTATCCCCTTGTTCTTTTATGCACAACTTGGAGCTCTCAAACTGAGCTAGTTTGTAGTAAGTCTTTGCAGTCTTTGGGGCTTCTGAGCGGTGCTGCCAGCTGCTTTTAATTGTCTCCCTTAAAAGCTGTTCTGACACTGAAATAGCCAATGCCTTGGTTTTTATTTAGTTCCTCAGTGAGAGAACACCAGGAATAACACCTTTAGAAGCAGTCTCACTGAAACCAGTGACCAAAGTTCAGGATGACTGCAGCGAGGATGAGATTTGATTCAAGATAATGATAAAAGGAAAAAAAAAAATCAGGCACCACAGCTTGATCTGAAACGTAGAAAAAATACAAATCAAAGTGATTATGACCTCATGCTTAATGGAAAGCATGTGAGAAGTGTTAGCAAGGCTGGGCTTTACTTTCCTAACTGGAGATTTGAAACACTTCAGAAAAAAAAACAGATGTATTAATGTTATTATTCAACACCACATCTGTTTAGTGAAAAATAACAAATTATAATTAATACTACCAAAAGAACACAGTCTAACAATTTTCTAGATCATTAAAATTCTGCTTTTTGGAAGAGCGCAACAACCCTTCAAGTATAAAAAATTAATGTAAAATCATATATATTAAGTAATATTCAATTTTTTAAAAATATACATTCCAACAATCAAAAGGGAGCTGCACCACCCTCTGGCTGGAGCATGAGGCCACTGCCGAGCCCCGACGTCCCGCGTCCCCGCAGGCAGTGCTTAAACACCAGGACAGGCTCCTTAGGGCGGGCAGCTCAGCAAAACAACTTCTCGCACCGTGCTCTGCACCCTCCCACAGAAATGCCGTCGCTCACTGCACTCCGAGAGCAAACTGTCTGTTTTTTACTCCAAAGACTTAAGACACTCTCGACCCTCGAAATCCAACCGGAGGCACCTGCCGCCTTCGCAGCCCCCTCCGAGCGCTCGTGCAGGTACGGCCAGGGCTCCTTTCCTCGCCGGGGTCTCCTTTCCCCTCCCGGCGCTCCCCCCGAGCTGCGGGCCAGGCAGCCCCGGCTCCGGCCGAGCCCCTCACGCCCGGCCCCGGCCGAGCCCCCAGCCCGGCCCGGGAGAGGCCGCGGGACCCCGAGCGCCGGGCGACCCCTCAGGGCGGACCGCGCCGCGCCGCCGCGCCGGCCCCCGTCCCTCAGCCCGCGGGCGTCTCCCGCCGCCGGCGGCCCCGCTGCATGCCCGGAGCCCCGGCCTGGCCCCTCACGCCGCCCCGCCCGCCGTGCCCGCGCCCCGCGCCCCTCACCGGCCTCCATCCTCCCGCTGTCACCATCCTCCTCCCCTTCGCCCCGACACGGAGGCACAACACGGCCGCGCCGCGGGGCGCCCTGGGAGCTGCAGTCCCGCCGCCGGCCGGGAGCGCACCGCCCCCATTCCGCAGCACTACAAACCCCAGCAGCCCCCGCGGCCCGAGCGGCGAGCGGAGCAGGCGGGCAGGCGCGATTGGCTGGACGGGGCGCCGGCGCTCTTCTGATTGGCGGCTGGCGGTGGGGGTCGCGCCCCGCGGGCGGGTGGCAGCATGGAGGGCGCGGTGTCGGACGTGGCCGTGTGTAACCTGGCGTTCGCGGGGCGCCTGGAGGAGCTGCGGGCGCTGCTGCTCCGCGACAGGGCCCAGGCCACGCGCTCCGACCAGGTCAGCCGGCGGCGGCCCCGGGCGGCTCCTGCCGGCTCCTGCCGGCTCCTGCGGGCCGCTGCCCGTCCTTGCCCCGCTCACCGCTTCCCTCCCGCAGGATCACCGCACGGCGCTGCACTGGGCCTGCTCGGCGGGACACACGGACGTCGCGGACCTCCTGCTCGGGCTCGGCGTGCCTGTGAACGACAAGGACGATGTGAGTGCCGCGGGTTCCCCGCTGCGGCCGAGGCTGCCG